AAAAAAAAACTTTCTGCTAAGGTTATATTTTTCCCTTGACTTATACACTGCAATCATCACAGCGATGGCTAGCATTAAATGTCGAAGACAAGTGTTGTTAACGATGGCTACGAATTAAAAAAAAGAAGGTCATCGTAGCTGACTACCGGTCAAAACCAGTCACCACCATATCGAGTTCTTGCGTCAAACCATTATGGTGAGCTAGCCTTTGTACAACAAACGATAGAATTAGATACAAAAAGCCAGTAGCACAACGACTTTTGGTGCTTGCATAAACAGCAAAGAAATCATTGATTATGCACTCTATTGTCAAATCCGCCGCTTCCAGGCATAAATCATGGATTTCTGCTGCCGTCTCATCGATGCCGTCTGTTCAGCTTTCTAGAAGACTGACGAATTTAAATAAACATTTCATTTAGATGGAATAAGTGGCAGTTACCTTGATTACGTGCTACATACACTCAGTTAAAGGCAAAAGAACAGATGATCGGTCGTGTCAAGTTATCAACCAGTTAGTAGTATTAGTCAACAACCCAGTATCTGATGATTTTTTTTAAATATTTCAAATAATACCATCGTATTACGTATGACAAACTTCTGGGTTGCAGGTAATTACTCCGTGCACTACAGGCAAACATAAACCTCTCGTTTTGCACACACACACACACACACACACACACACACACACACACACACACACACACACACACACACACACACACACACACACACACACACACACACACACACACACACACACACACACACACACACACACACACACACACACACACACACACACACACACACACACACACACACACACACACACACACACACACACACACACACACACACACACACACACACACACACACACACACACATTCTGCGCTGCATATGATACAAATAATTCACGACGAGTCATATGTTCTTTCCGGTAACAGAATCGTACCTAATAATTTTTTTTCTGTTTTATTAGTTTTCCCGTTACCCTAATTCGGCCTATTCTTTGTAGCAAAACAATCGGTGATCGCTGTTCTACAGGTGGTACGCCACTAATAACTCTATAAACGCTACAAAAATCGATTTCCCTTCGTATCTTTACTGTTTAGGTTTAAAAATGCGTTTATGTTTTTTCTTTCAATACTTAATAGCTTTCTCCCCTTTGAGGTCTCCTAATATGCCCCACAGCAAGAACGCATTGTGACCAGCGTCGAGTTTATAGGAATATGTCCCTGTAGAGAAGTACAGATGCTCAAAGTTGAATTGAGTGTAAATACCAGTCGCATGAAGTCGGTCTCAGGTAGCTATTATTGTTAATGCCATTTGATAAAGTGCCATAGGGTAACGTACTTTATACAGAAATTCAGCCACCACCGCTGTACCGCGAGCATCTAGACCACAAGGTGTCCCTAAAATTAACACGCAAGCACTTTACCCACCAATCTATCACGAGAACTAGATTAAACCCAACTGATCTGATCCCAGTCAATTGTTCGCAATTGTTCTCACCTAGCGCTACATAATGCCCACCGGATATTTACCTACGATACGAATCAAGAACGCTTTAAATATATAAAAGGGCTCGTAGTATTTAGAGCTTCGCCCGTCAGGTTGGGCAATATTCATGTTAGTATTTCTATACTATAGTTGCAAGCAGGATTTGGATTCTGCTTTACAGTCCCTAAAATTAAAAAATCAACATAGCTCCTGAGGATTAGACAATTCAAAAAATACGTTGTGACTCATCTGTTTATTGAATTACCAGTTATAGAGAAATTGGTCACCAAGAAAAAAGCCAAATTAACGGTTTCAGTTCTGAACTTTACTTGACATGTTATGATAAACAGAATGACGCACACATACAAGATCGCTGTACCGCGAAGGCTTGCCAGGTATAATTTTTTGCAAACCTTTTTAGAAAATTGGCACAGAAAGTATTTTTTCAGAGGCGACGTACTCGTGAACACGTAGCCAACATTGTAATAAGTAGCCCCATGAAAACACCTACCGAAACACGGTATTCATTTCACAGTACTTGGCACTTATATATCTGTTGAACCCAACTGCTTTCCTTAGTTATTCGGGAACGTGCCGATATATATTTATAGCAAGAACACATATCTTCAATTAATAATAGATTGTTTATTGTAGTTGAGCACTTCATCATCATCGTCATAGATTTACAAAAAAAAAAAAAAAAAAAAAAAAAAAAAATGACTGGGCTTGTCGACTAATTATCAACTGTCAATGTAAATATAGCTATTCAGCTAATTCCGACCCGCGCGGTGGTAGAAAGAAGCATTTCTCGGTAAACCAGTGTGCCTTTTCAAACACTAATTTTTAATTGTAAACGAGGCTTTCGGCCGTTAGAAGCTAGTTGGATAGAAAAACACGTGTTGACAATATATATTTCGTCGAAGAGCTATTTGACTGAGGTCTACAGGAACTATATAGTAGATTGTCCAGAGAAATAAACATCATATCGTATCACAATGTTGCTTTGCAGCAAAACACCCAAAACGAGTGAGAATCGTAATGAAGGTATCACTAGGTATTCAGTTCACTTTTTGAAGTTCGCCTTGAGTCTAGCAGATACCTGCGTATCCTTGAACACTAAAATATGGTAGACATTTATTAACTTCGTTAAATGTTAGAAATATGAAAATGTTATTTGGAAGTACAAATGGATATGTGGTTAATTTTTTGGTGACCTGTAGCTACCCGTACTAGTTATTAGCGATAGTAACCGGTTACCAAAGCCAAATCTTACTTGATAAAGGGCGCATTATATTCATATAGAACTCGTCTCCTCTTGATAGGTATACACGGTGAGATTTGCCCTCTTCAAGCTTCTATTAGCGGATTGAACCGGTGTGGCATTACCGTCGTATGTAGACGGGTAATTCAAGCAAAAGTAACGATCGTTTAATCAGTGGGTGTTTGAACAATTCATAAATCTATTATGAGCGTTCATATTATCATTCATCTCAGGCATGAAGTGTTTACAAAGCTATTACATTGAGAGAAATTATATTCGAAATTGGATACTAGTTTTCAGGAGAAGTCAGCATCAATGCTGATCAGTATCTTTCTCAAGTAGTAAGCTACACGAATGATATCTTTGGGCATCTGTATGGAATGGATATTTCGTACTGAAAATTGGGCCGCATAATTCTAACAAAGACCTGGTTAGCTGCAATCAACGGATCCTTGGATTTTAAGTGTTAAAGTACTTTTAAAAAAATTCTACGAGTTTCTTTACCAGTCAATCGCTCGCTCGCTCGCTCGCTCACTGTGTTCAACTTTCGTTTTGTTCTGCTTGCAATTCTTGCAACCCTTTTAAAAATGCCTGTACGTAATGGCGCAATCAGGAATTGCTCGAAGCCTTAGAGCCTTTCGGCCGAATTTTACTTCAGCTCACTGACGAAGTACAACTATCACTCTTGTTATTAGGTTTCTGGTCACTATGGGCAGAAAGGTAGAGTATTGTTTTTCTGTCATTTCGTGTCAACGGTAAAAGCAAAGAAAATCACTTGGCTGTATGCTTGACAAATAAAGCTAAGCAAAACTAACCCAAGTAACATATGTGTAAATACCCTTTTAAACTGTTGTCAAAGTTAAATCAAGACTCGTTATCGTCGGGAAATATACAATACTAAACTAAACTACTCAACCGTCTGAAATATGGAGAAACTGCGACCGCATTGCGTATCTTTTTTGGGCAAGAGACGTGCCTGCATGTATATTCAAACGCAGTTGCTCAATCAAGTGGAACATTCACTACAGGATGAAATATAGTGTTCTTCAATAGAAGAAAGTAGAAAAGCTAACGAAAGTGCTCATCATCAAATACTGGCCGTTTACCTTTGAAGCAGAGAGGACTTTTCTCGATTTACAGACTTTGAACCTTAACCTGATTCTTATCAGACCAGCAAGTACACAGCCTAATTTGCTTTTCAGATGACTAAATCCAAGTAGTGATTTTCTATCTGCGCGTATTACTACTTTTCCTGTGTTTCTGAAAGATATTATATTTTTTGGCCTATTGATATGGCGTAAAATATTCTGTGGTTTCTATCTCAGCACGTTATGCGCTCAGCTGCGTGATGGCGTCAATAATGTCAAACGTGACCGAACGTAACTAAATTCAATATATGAAGTGATTCTGAAAATAAAAATAAAAACTAGACAGTACCTCACTGTAACGTCAACGTCAACGTCAACGTCAACGTCATATAAATAATCACCAAATGACGCAAAATCCGTTGTATGAACATTTGCGCACACAACATTGCCACAGGTCAGCAGCGGGCGATTTGCTTTTGTCTCTTCGGTGCTTTTTTGGGACGAAACTGCTGAATTTTTCGTCGAGCGGCATATACTGAATAGCTTGAACAAAGACAAGTTCCCAACCAGAGGATCAACTTGTTTTACTTTTCAAAAGTAGATATAATTTATTTTAATGTATCGCATTTCATCGATCCGGTCATAGTTGATTACATTATAAATCTGAAAAATTAAAAATGCAACCTTGATTTATTCATTCAGCTCTATTATCAGTGAGTTTCCTGTTCACTGATACATTTCCATTTACCGTGTACTTAAACAGGTCTATTGTGAGAGACGAATCTTATATGCGAGCTCATTCATGTCTCGTCATTTCAATTGTATACTATGGTGAATGTATAATGAATTTAAAATACTTCTTGCTTGATTGATCACTTCGTTCGCCGTCCGACGCAAACTCCGCACCGCAACTGCCTTAACAGGAACATCTCGGTGGAAGTCTTTTTGAACGGAACCCAGATCCAATGCGCTAGCTACTCAATACTGGCTAATAGCAAAAGCCTCACTATCGCCTCAGCCATCATTGGCTCTGTTTGGTCTGTTTAACTGATATGTAGCACAGTCTGCACTAACCTCCACTACAAGTCTTGTAAATAACGATGCAATAGATTGTTTGTTTCACACAGAATATAATCCATACTTACCTCGTCGACTATTTATCCTTACTCACTTCTGTGTTTTGGCTTGTTTAGATCATCATTTGTTTAGCTAACCTGCGATCGTTGCCGTGATTTGGTATAGTAAATTTCACCATTACGGTTAACTGATTTTCTTTCTACCCTATCTTTTTTTTTTTTGTTACTTAGCAGCTAATTAAAATTTCGTTGAACAACTTTATGAAAACATTCAAGCCGCAAAACGCGATTTCTAGCTTTGTACAAAAGTGGAAATTTTTTACTTAGTATAGAAAAGATACCTTAATGACTACTAGCATTGGTATTTGTGTTGTGCTGTAGTCTGGTGGCCCGAAATAATCTCCAGGCTTAGCATATATATACCTCGAATACGAAGGGACTACGAAAAAAATCATCTTAACGAAAGACAAAGTGATGTATAGTGATTTATGTCCTTACAGAAAACATATGCATTTAAAAGATAGATATGGAGACTGGACCATATTATGCGACAGTCTAACTATGAGTAATATTGAGTAAAACTATTTTTAGATGGTGTATAGTCAATGTAGTAATAGTTATTTCAAAATGCCACCCAAAAAACTGAAACTGATGTCTAATTGACTCGTTCCCCCCTGTTGAATGTCGAAGATTTTCTGTGCCGTAGACTGATCTGCCGCTACGACTATTTCTAATTCGTATAATCTGCATAAATTCAAAGCCACGTGCTTATATTCGGTATGTCTGATCTACCAGCCGCTGAGTATGTCCTGTGAGAATGTTTTTCAGACTGGCCACTAACAGGCCGATCAGTATACATATGTATAACATTTGTAAACTACGTAAAATAAAGACAGCCTTTTTCTGTTGGGTAGCGAAGGAAACTGCGATTCTTAGGCAGCGAGGGAGCGAGATGAATCTGGCCGTGCCGCCATTACATTTATAAAGAGAAGGACTCGGGGTTGGTGGCCTTTCCGTGCTCAGACAGGTGTTACGTAACATCAATATGCTCACGCGCGAAAAATCAAGGTAAGCTCATATACCGTTGCTGCTTTAGTTACGTTTGCTTGTTATGTGTGCATGGAGCGTCAATATTCACATGGTGCCGACAAATTTATACTTTCAATGACCTCTACAAGCCGCCTATGATTTATCTTGACGGACGGTGCCTCTACAGTATTAGTAATAACTTGACAGAACGCGGTTTAATTCCGCACATGCTAAAATATTCAGTTTATTTACGTTACGTCGTTAGAAGTCGCGTTAAATAAGCCACGTGCGTAAAAGCAAACAACTACTTCAAACAAACACAATACATATATATATATGTATACGTGTATCTATTAATGGCTAATCTGAGGGTGACGAACGTTCGAGCTGCTCTATATATATATATATATATTTGTATTAGCTGTGTGGACTGGGAAGTAATCGTTCGGATATCTGGTTCCTTATAGCGTTCGCTTCGAATAACGTAGAACGCTTCCACGGTACGTAGATCGAACATACGTAAATGTTCAAGGTGAGCAGATGCCGCATTCGATAAAGATTTGATACACTTTTCAGTCAATGCGACAAAAATTCAGACAGAAAACGGTGCAATTGAGTGAAGTGGATAAAACGAGATTGGTAATGTACATTGCATAGCAAGAGTACGGTAACTGATAACCGTCCGTTTATGACTATATTTATACATCAGGACGTTAAAGGAGCCGCGGGCATAAAGTGTGTCGATTACTACATGCCAATTGGATGTACTATATAATTGACCCTTAGATCTAAGTAATATTAACTCTTGAACTTTTTCGTAGAAAACGGTACACAGACGTACACAAATAATAACGTACATTGCCATTGTCGTTGTTTGGGGTTTTTTTTCTTTAGCAAATTTGGTCAAAAAGCATTTGTTGCTCTTGTACCGTTTTTTTTTTTGTTTTGTGTTTGTTGCTTGATGAACACAGAAATCGAATTTAATTTTGTTATTATATCTTAAAATATTTTTGTCAAACGTTTAATACGTATCGTTAGTTTGGTTCCATCGAAGGAACACGGCTAAACTTAATCTTGGACTAACTAAGCTGATTTTTGCCCTTCAATAACACTGACCCAGAGTACAGGTTGGTGGCAACGTATTTTATAGATTTTCAACGAAGAGCACAGATATATCGACTATATTGATTGTGCGAAAAACGTCAAATCAACACGGTTTTACCCTGTCATAAGAAGCTTTTCGAAGCTATATGGAACTACTATAGTCAAATCATTGTATTTGTCGCCAACAAATATTTAGCTTCGTACATTCTACTTTACACGGTTCAGGTTGTGAATCTGTCGGTGCACTATCGGCCTGCGAGCAAGCGATACACGCCTGTACAGCATGTATCTACAGTAGTATATAACATCAATACGAAACACTTGCTAAAGATTCTGTCTCTAGCTCTGCTCTAAGCGATACCGGGAAGCGTAGATCTCTTCCACACAAAAGATCCACTGAAGCTAAGTTTATAGGTCGAAAATCGCCAAAAAAAAAAAACAACGGCCGAAAAGTGCAAAGAGTCAAAAAAAAATTCTACGCAAAACGCTAATTGTTAAAGTCGGAAGATTTCCAAGCCAATTGATGCTTGCCTTTCGAAAACTGTGACAAAATCCAGAACGATCAAGAATGTATTTCGATGTTTAATTGTTTATTCTCCTTCTGTAAAGGTTCGAGGCGCGAAAGTCTATGTCAACATTTTAACGCTTCTTTTTCCCATCAATTTTTAAATTTGCATTTTTTTTCCGTCGTCTTTTTGTGCAGTTTTCTAGTGTTTCCATTTTACCGTGTTGAGTAAGCATAGTATCTTCATACACCATCATTCACCAGACCTGACAGCTAAGGCTCATAAACTTCTAGATAGGCCGGTTTCTTATTCGTTGACCGTTTTCGCGTTGGGCCCTTTACGAAACTTCCAAATGTTCTTCCTATAACGTTTATGACGCTATCCGAGAGAACGTCCCCGGCTTTCAAGAGTAAGCACACGTGCATTTCGACAAGAGTAATGCAGCAAAACATTGCACCGTTATGAAATAGTGTCGTCTTAAAATGTGTGATTAAAATTTGTTACGTTTTCAGTTAATGCAGCCGTTTGCAGTCTTAATTGACGGAAGCGATTCAGCTTGATTCAAACTAACCTATTGCGCAGCCTGTACTGACCAACTAAATATGTTGCCTTATTTAAATTTAATGTTTAAATTATTTTATATGTAAAAAGCCGTAACCACAAGCTATTAAATCATCAACGAATTTGAATAATGGCGCGAAATTATTTACATTTTTCAGTGGCATATGAGCCACGAATGATTTTCGATGAAACGCTATGGCATATCCGCTTTCATGAAGTTAATTAAGCTTCACAGCTCAACACAGCTATCCCTGAGGCCTAGCTAAAGGACCAAATTTCAAATCAAAGGTGTTGAATTTAAAAAACAGGCTATCCATATTATCTACATTAGAAAAGTTGTTTTTTTTTTTTGTCAATCTGTCTGGTATACTTGCCTACTACCTGATCAGCATACACTTTCAAATATGAACATCGAAATTCGTGACCTTATTGGTCACTTTGTTTCTTACTAGGTAACACTACCTGTTATTACTACGGTATTACGTTTATCAAGATGTTTGCTTAGCCGGGATCCGGGTTCTGCAGTCGAACTAGCCATTGACCAAAAAAACTGCTCTAGTCATCGCCATTGTTCCGTCATCCAGATACACAGTATAATATTCAACTCCACGGCAAATTATGGAAAAGTTGATTTTTTTCAAGAATATATCTATGATAGTATCTGGCAGTTGTACTTCCATGTCGATGATTCCCAAATTTCGTCTATGCCAAACTGCACCAGCCCTTGCTTGGTTAGCCAATGACAATCCTAATTTATGAATGTCGCATAATCTATAAGCATTAATAAATATTAAATTTTTTTTTTTGTGAGTAGTACGGCCATCACTCACGTGACCTAAGTAGGCAGAAATTATAGGTAATCCCTCTGTGCGTCGCAAGATAGAAGTTATCAAAAAGGTGAGCTCTTTACGTGAAACGATCATTGAAAGCAAGTTCCTCCCTTAATATTCTCAACTGCAACGGCTATCAGGCATTCGAATTTCCACTATGTTGGGCACTAGTACTACAGCGAGATTCCTTTATAGCTCCTTAACATACTGAAGCCTAAGCTGACTACACAAATTAACTATATTCTTTCATAGAACGTATTGAAAATCTGATTAGTTGTTCCCAAAAGTGTAACTTGAGTTTTTGACAACGGCTTTCTAATATAAATATTTTATTTTATAGGTTAAAAAAAAATTGCCCTCAAAAAATTACTAACTGAAATTTTCCTCCGCTAATTCTACCCTACCCTATATGATGGAAATGACGGTTATCAAAAAAATTCATTTGCTTTTCATTTTGTCTGTCATAATATATAAAAAAAAAAAAAAAAAAAAAAACTATACATTGATATACTTTTGTAAATGTTTAGTAGGTTCTACACGTAAAAGCAAATATATATAATCCACAAGTAAAAGCAAACACTGGTCTCTAATAAAACATCAAACCTATTTGCTAAGCTTAAATTATACCAAAACCACGTTTAAAGTCCTATTAACCCACACAAAATTAGGTTACTATACTATATATAGTATATATATATATATACTACTAAAGAACAGTTTTAATCTCGGCAGACATGTCGGAAACTTCGAACAAGTCAATGCTAACTGAAAGGGCATAAATGTAGCGATTTGTCGCTGAAAAATATGTGAAAGATATAATTTTAAAATTAACGAATTTAGAGTATTAAATTATCCATGTATGCTGTAAAACGTTGTACCTAACGGTGAAGGACAATCGAGACCCTTGGCGGTTGAAGTCAGTTCTAGTGGATTCAAAACAAGATAGTGCCTTATGACCATGGCCATGGCTCTATAAGCGCTCTCTGTGTCCGACTGACTGTGCCTCGCTTTCTAGGTTCCCCCTGTACTTTTACACAGATAGGGGCTGTTCCGAACTTTCTAACTGGGTCAAAATCGTCTGCATTCTGAACCTATAGCCTTGCAGGCTTTGGATTCATTTTTGACTCCGTAATTTCTGAGCATTGCAGCATTTACCATAGGAATGATTTGACCATTAATATCATGTTTGAACTTAATCCATTAAACGAACCTAGCTAGATTTGATCGATCATGGTGTATCTTTTACGTGTAGATATTTTTGAACATTCATTTTTTATTATTATTTAGAGAAAACAAGCATTGTACATCGTTTGAGAGATAATCACTACTTCATAAAGTGTTTGTTGCTACCTCAAGCGATTGTGGCTCAAGAGCAAGAGTAATTTACGCCCAAGGTTAACCAATCCGGTTACTCCCTGATCGGAAAACCGCGCTAAAATCATCTTCATCTAGGGCGACATCTGTGTCGAAATATGCAGCAGAGGTCTCGCATTCTAGTGTTGGAAATGGAAAAATAGTTGGGTCGCTACCTATTACCAGTTAATAACGATATTCACTGAACTGATGATATCGTAGACTGTAGTAACCCAACTCGGCAAGATATTTCACTTAACAATTGTTAAATACTGTGATTTGTGACGATGGCAATAGATGATATCATCGTAACTTTGGCCAGTTCGTTTCCCTACTGAGAAGAAATGGTTCGGTCAGCTTCTGCTGGGTTTTAGCCGCAGATCCTTTTCTGATTTTCATTGTCGACCACCGGGCGTGAAAATGATTGACCTTGTTTTCACTAGATTCTGTCGCTAGTTTGGCCGTTTTAGCTTTGGGGCCTTTAGTTGAGCCCACGCAGGACTATCGCCTACGTGTAGCGAGGAAAAGGCAGTCGTTCCGTATTACTGCATAGATGAAATTCCATAACATACACAAGATGTTGAAAGTGGCCGACAACTTTGCATCTAAAAAGTTAAGAATACGAATAGTAATAATCGAAATATGTAACTGAGCAAGTTTGTCGCGTAACGAGAGTGCAAAAAAAAAACTATTCCCATTACATAACACTCTCAATGAGTATTTGGATATAGTTGTTAGATATCAGTCAGAATATTGGCATACGTACTTTGAAAAACACTGAATGTTTAACCTGCAATATCGAATACTTTGTGTAGCCATCGACATCAGGGTAATTTTCAATTGTAAAGTACCTCGAAAATAGCAGAATTGGTACAGATTTGAAAAAGCTCAACCGAGAATAGGTGGACCGTTCAAATATTAGAGCACGCATTTACACGTACCAGTGACAACAAATTAGCATCATGTAAGTTTACTTATAAGTAAGTAAATGTAAGTACTTAAGGGTACGTTATATGTGCCTGTAAGGGAGTGATCGTATATTAAAGGTTTAGATGGCATGTCTCACTTTCCATCGTTACAAGAAGTACGTTCCGTTTACACTGGTATCATGACGGCTTGCTTAATTAATTTCAAGTATCATCATCCTACAGACGAATATAGAGAAACATTTTTTCGGCTCACGTTTAGGTCGTCAATGGGCAATGCAACTGAGTCGCATAGATATTTAGGTTATGCAAAAAAGTTGTAGTCATATCATACCTACTGTGCAATACTGCCGCCATGGGGCATAGTACAGAATGAATGATGATGAAATAGAAAAAGCTGTATTGGGTCATTACCTGTTTTTTTTTGGACAGTCCCTGGTGTATCCGGCAAAATGTTGTCGTTTGCCCCTAAGATTGTGTCTGGGAAATGTTCGCCGTTATTACAGCCGGTTTCGTAATAACGGCCACCTCAAAGGTGGCATTCTGCAGTAACACTCAACTTCATGAGCATTGCATCTCTTATAGGTCTCCAATTATCTACCGTAAGTCTATATTAGTCTTTTTTCCCATAAGTGTCTACTATTCGCTTAACCTTATTCGAGCTTCACACTATTTATGATATTTCGAGTGCTTCGTTCGCATGTGTCAGGTACAACACATTTTTTCAGACACCTCGTCGTCCTATTGTAGGTCACTGATTCGAACACTAGACGCAAAGAGTCAGTAGAAAACGTTGGTCCGATTGTTCAGCTTCATATTAACACTATATTGCTAAATTAACGACAAAAAGGAACCACGAAACAAACAGTGTGAACGATGACGAACACGTTAACTTATGTTAATAATATCTTTCACGCGACGGGGGCTTATTAGCCAATGGACGATCATAGACTTGATTCGGGCTCTACTGATGCTGGGTTCTCCGTGCGTCGCTAGCTTAGTGCCATAGCAGAACGGTTATGGAGCCCGCGCCTGATCGAGGGAAAGGACACTGGTCCACCATCCCGCGGGCCTTGAGCTCCTGTTCACGCTCACATCGACTTCAATGGCGGCAGCCGCAGAAAAGAAGAGCACCAGCACCGCCAGTAATTCCTTAGTGAGCCCTGAGCGCTTTGAAGCCCGCAAAAAACAACAAGACCGCCATAAGCTGACGTTTCTAAAGGAAGCTGACGATAAAAATGACTGCTGTTGCTATTAGAAAAACGCTATGGAAGCAGTCAGTCCCTCAATGTCACCAAAATAGTAAACGTGAATTTGTACGTACGTATAATCAATATGATCATCATCTTTATCGCATACACTTTTTATGTTACAGGTATGTCATATTGTAAGTTGACATAAATGGCCAACAGGGTAGGGATTGCGGGAGCGAGGAAAACGACAACAGATAACGCGATGAGATCATCAGAGGGGCAATCAATGGTCTGTTGATACGTAGAAGTCAACTATTATTCGGCTCTATTTACGCTTGTCTGATCCGTAATCGGCAGCTATGGTTCTACCATGTCTTTTGTTGGTATAAAATGCCTTTTAATTGCCAACAACACGAAACGAAATGTTTATCTAAAAAACGGAAAAAAGGTCTCGACGCTGTCAAACCGAAGGTTATCAACAGAAACAGAATTTTATCTGGTGAAATGACTGTCAACTGAAATCTTTTTTTCATGCAACAGAAGTATAAATATAACTGAGTGGGGGCTATAATTTCAGCAAATATAGATTGCTAGGGCATCAACACCACCTAAATCGAAGGTTAAGGACAAAAATAATTACGATCTCGTCAGTGTTTATCAGTCTACATAGATCCATTGTTGCCGAGTGATGGCGCGATACGAAATAAAAGTTGCGGCAAATATAGGAGCATCAAAATTAGCATTTGAAGTACCTAAAAGGTAATTAGTTATTTACTCTAGATGTTGTTGACAGAAATTGTTATATAAGTTATATCTTCAATATCATATATACACACATCTACGACTAATTTGTTTCGTTATGTTTCTACTTATTCTCTGGCAGCTAAAGTCGAATGTTTATGTATAATATGAATGAGATCTGCAGGACTGGAGACTTAAGATTTAGTGCCTGATAATTTAGGCCCATTTTTATTTTAACAGGTCTCATATAGGGATGGACCATTCTGAACTTAAATCGCGGTCGCCTTTGTTGCGCAGAGCGTGCGCAATTTCAAACACATCTCTGTTAAAACGACCTTAGATAGATAGCCAAAAAGAATGAGTATCTTCTATTTAGATAATAGAGCCATAATAATACAATTTGCTTAAAGTTGAAATAAGTGATGTTTAAATAGGGACATGATTACATCTTAGTCTTAATATGTCTGCTAGTTTACTCTAAAGAACGTTACACTTTTTGATCGGATCGAGAAAACTGTTATAATTTCATTGATGTAATATCCTGTGAAACGCTACTCATTTCAAACATTTTACAAACCTTCTAATCAAGTTTCGCTGTTAATAAATTACAGCCCTGTGCCACAAATCATGCTAACTACAAACTCAGCTAAGCTTGGAATAGCTTGTTATTCCATTTAGCATCAGGTTAGAACCGTACCAAATAAACTGAACATGTGTTCCCGTAATAAATATTTTTCACCCGGTGTTTAACGTAAACGTTTGAAATTATAAACCCAATAGGATGTTTAATAATTCAGTTAGGTGTACTTATTTTACATGCGAAGATCTTGTTATGAAGCTAAGTGCGCTTCGAAGATAGACGACGACGACGACGACGACGACGACATACAGAATTCAATGCCACTACGAAACACTATTGATAGTATCACAGAGATCAAACAACATATTTCTGTAATCATTCTGAATAATATATAAAAGGCAGAGGCTTTCGATAAATAAGATCGTATTGTAGTAGTTGTAGTAAACGACCCTATCGCTAAAAAGACTGCTCCAAAGTGGTTTGTTAAGTTTGAAAACGATATACGAGGCTCAGAGGATGCCCTCCGTTCTAGCGGACTAGTAGAGTTTATTTACGACCATTTGAGAGCATTTTTGAAAGTCAGAAAGACAGACTGCGGCAATTCAACCATCGTGAACCGCATTGAATAGCTTAAATTTATGCAGAAACTTTAGGCCGGATATGTTATGAACTCTATGAATTCAACAACAAAGTATCCTGCTCGGTATCGAGCATCACGCGGCCACAGTGACAGATTTTTGCCCAGAATCGTCATCAGCGATGAAAAGCGGTGTCTGTACACCGATATGAATCGGCTGCTTCAGGAGAGAAGGTAAGACCTAGACTTTAAGCAAATCTTTATCAAAAGCAAATTATGGTTCACGTGTCGTTGGAGTGCGAGAACTTAGTTCACAAGCAACTGCTTCCTACGAGCTAAGTAGTTGATTGGCACCTTTATTTGGCCCAGCTGCATCAAGTCAACGAGGGTTTTTAGAAAAAACGACGCGACAAACGAGGTTAAATCACCCTGCTCCACGACAACACGAGGCCACACACACGACAAACATCGCCAAAGCTGCCCTCTTGGACTTCAAATGGTAGATATTATTGCATACCTTATATACTTGGGACTTCGCACCGATGGTTCTTTCACCTTTCCCGTTTGTTATAGATCATTTTCGTGGTCCTATCTTCGACACAGATTAACAACTCAAAGGTTTTCAAGCTGAAATCCGTCACTTTCTGACGAAATAAAATATGTAATTGAATAAAATAACGAGTAAAAACTGTAAACATTATATAAAGGGAAATATATAAAGAAATTACTCTTCCACAAATAAAAACGTGGTGTTTTTTATTTGGTAAAAAAAGAGCGCGAACTTTCTTTCCAACCTAATACATACAGTTCCAACACTTAAATCAAGATTAACTGTATATCGAGCATTTGTTTCTTTGATACTTCTGGTATCATACAAAAGCCAGTTCCTTTAACAAAACGATAAGTTGTTTGTGGTGAACAACAATGCATCGTTTTTAAGTTCTGAGCGAAGGTTCAACGTCTACGCGCCGGGCAAAATCCTCCCGTCGAAAACACTCCGGGTCACCCCAAATTGGCCGAGTCTCGAATGAGTATGAGGCTGCAGAAGAAGCAGAATCAAACTTCAGCGTAAAGAATACAGAATCCGCGACAGAAAAAGAACAGTGACGACCAATGCGAAAAGTTAATTGCTATCGTCGAAAAGTTATCCCTCTACTTCGACCATTAGCCAGTAGACGTTCATGAAGAAATCTGATGTAAGAGAGAGTACGATGTCACATATTTAATTGATGAAGACTTGATAGAAAAGTTAGACCGATACTTCGCCATTTGCTACTCATTTTTTTTCCAAGAATGGAACAGCAAGTTGTCATTGATTTTTCTGTAACCAGAAATATATATCTGCTATGCAAAAATGAACTATGGAAATGATCGCTGTTTTTCTCACGGTCGAGGGGATGTGCATACTGAGGGATTTTCGGTCAAAGACCTTGTTCCGAGTGTGGTCAGTGAAGCAGACGTTATGGTATCATACTTCTCCCAAAAAGGCAAACGTATCACTGAAGAAGTTTATCTGGATGTTCTACAAACTGTGTCTGAAGGGAGGTCATACGTACCCAGTCGATTAGTTGAGGGCCGACTGCTTTGAAGTACTCTAATAAATGTCCTAGGTTAAGCGTGAACGATAATCGTACATCTCAGATTTAAATCCATCGGGGCGCCTGTAAGTGAAGTCCGGGCATGACCATCCAGATTGGCCCGGACACGCTGTCAGGACGTCGTTCGTAGAACGGGTAGAGAAAACATTTGCGATGAGCGGAGTCTGAATTGAAGCAGTGATCGCGCAAAATGATGTTGATATTGAATGAACACGATTGTCCCGAATGACCCTTCTAGTACAGCTAGAAATTGTTTTAATTAAGTACCTATTTTCATTTGAATCTAGTCTTAAAAGCAAAGTATAAGGAAGAGCTATAATTAAGATGCCATATGTTCAATATATAGCATACTTATATAAATAATAGTGAGTATATGTATATGCGTATATATATATATATACATTTGCACTTGTATAAATATAGAGGGGTGAATCCGACTAAGCGCTTATTTGGATTGAAGTCAAGCACTAAGGTAGTGTCGAACTTTCCTGATACAATTCGTACTCTTTGTTGTTGACGCTGTTTTTCAATGGGCGACATTCTTCAACGTTGGTTTTCGGCTTCGTTTATGCTCGTCGTGCAAACTTCCAGAATAGAATGTTCGTCGTTTTGTAGAGGCCACTAATTTTGTTCATCCAAGAAGAATGGACACCACAAGGCTTGTTAACATTGAGAATATTCTAGAAAAAAAAAAAAAAAACAAACGACCTATGGCACAGAGATACATTTGAATACCGAACGCTAAAGGGACGAAGGAATATTGCCGCTGATACGGTTCAAATCCACGTAAGCGCACGCTAAAATGATTTTTTTTGTTTAACGCTATAATATCTATAGCTGATAAGCTCACTGTAAAGATCGCATACGCATTTGTTGATCTCATGATAGCGTTTTGCAATTCATACTGTAATTTATTGTATTGATTATACGAGCTATCCACCGTATTCTACCCCGTTCAAAAACTAGACAAGCGAGTTGCTTGAATTTCTGCTGCGGAAGACATTGTCAGAAGAGCCTAATAAGGATAAATATCGGCAATAGAATAGGTCTGCCACGACAATCTTACGATCTGTATCTGATTTCGAAAGGAGATCCGATATATAGTAAGTGAAAGTGCTTGCGCCTTCTGTTTCTATTCAAGCATTTCGATACATTTTAGACACAGAATAATATCTAAAATCTCGCCTCAAACATTTATGAACTAATGCTCACAGTTATTATCTCTGTCATTTAATCTTACAGTAACTTAGGGAGGCAAAAAGCAGTCCCTTCAGACAATACTGTTTTACATAAGGATGTAGAACATATGGAAATATT